TTGACCGATCAGCGTCCGTATGAATAGCGGCGCGAAAACCCATGATCGCGTGCTTGCGTGAGAAAACCCGTGATCGCGTGCGTGCATGAGAAAACCCGTGCGCACGTGCGTGCATGAGAAAACCCGTGCGCGCGTGCGCGCGTGCGTGCATGAGAAAACTCGTGCGCGCGTGCGTGCGTGAGAAAACCCGTGCGTGCGTGCGTGCGTGAGAAAACCCGTGAGCACGTACGTGCATGAGAAAACCCGTGCGTGCTCATCCCTCGTGTAGCGTGCGCCGTGGTGTGATAGCTTTCGCGATGCCATTAAATTCGGTATCATTACCTCCGCGCAACGGAGTTGCAGGGAGGTAATGTAATCGCTCTCGTGTGTGTGTTCGTGTGTGTGTTCGTGTGGGTATTCGTGTGTGTGTGTAGCCAGCAGCGAGCCAGCTGTTATGCACATGTATACATGTTACACGCGTTGGCGCGATTGATTCAGCACCAGCTCGCCTTAGGCCGTCCAGTCAGCAGCAGCTCGCCTTAGAACGTCCAGTCAGCAGCAGCCAGCAGCGAGCCAGCTGTTATCTATCTATCTATCTATCTATCTATCTATCTATCTATCTATCTATCTATCTATCTATCTATCTATCTATCTATCTATCTATTCATTCATCAAATGTGAACCTCTGACCATTTGGCACTCAAAATCAAGAAGGTTCCACCGCTCCCTAAGGTCCACCTCTGGACCAAGTTTGAAGTTTCTACCTCTAACGGTTGCAAAAATATCGAGCAAACAGACAGACACACGCACACGCACACGCACACGCACACGCACACGCACACACACACACACAGACACACACAGACACAGACGCACACGCACACGCACACGCACACACACACACACACACACACACACACACACACACGCACACGCACACGCACACGCACACGCACATCATATGACTCACCCGTGTATCCCGGCACCATGGAACAGTTCAGTCTTGCCTGACTGCCTGGTGTGGGCACCTGCAGGTGACGTATGCCAGGCAAAGACTCTCTAATGCCGTCAAAATCTTCTTGTTGATCATTCTCTCTATCTACGTCCAATTCCTTACGTGACTGGATCATTGGCTTCATAAAAAAACAATACTTATACGTTACTACTATTAATACATATGGTACACTTTTATGTAATTAATGTAGTAATGTTTGATCAAAATTAAAGTAAATGTCGAGTTCTGCAACGTAGATATTGGTTATAATTATTATTGACTACGATAGCTTAAAGTGATTTTCATCATGCCATTGAACCGTATCGAACCTGAGGGAAGCTCATAGCTTCATTATAATTAGAACGAAATGCATTTCATAATCGCGGCATTTTCTGTAGTTTATAGGACTTTCAACCTAAATTAGAACTTTGAACCTATAACTTTTTGATGATTTGTTTTTAATTTGGCATTTTATTATTGGCTTATTATCAAAGCATAAATAATAGAACCGAACTAAGATGAGGGTAAGCGAGGGTCCATTCCTAGTGTCCAAGGTTTTAAAAATTATATTTCTTCGTACCCAGTTAAACAAAATCGCAATTCAGGGATTTTCTGCCTACCGCTTGACTTCTTTCTCAGAAAAATTATCTGATATTTCTCGCGGTTCCGGTTAATGAAAACGTTGCAATCTCGCGTCCCGAACATGACCGCCCACGCCTCTAACATCGCATTTTAGTCGCGGCAGTACGTTACCAGGTAGTGTGCAAACTACGGCAGACTCAAGTGGAAAATCTCTAAGTACCGAGAAACATACTTGCGTGGGAAATCAATCCGCACCTTGACAACAGCATTTAACTTGTGGCGCCAGCCTCGTTGTGAATCAAATATTCACTAATCACGGCGCGTTTGTTAGTCAGTGCGTGTGTGTGTGCGTGCATGTGTATGCATGCGTTTCTGCGTGCGTTCGTGCGTGCATGCGTATATTCGTTCGTTCGTGCGTGCGCGCACGTGCGTGTCTGTGCGTGTGTTTGGACAGCTGCGACAGGGAGGTTGGGGGATAAGTAGTGGGGGGAAGCGAAGGTGTTGACCATGCACTTGTAGACCTAATGTTTCTAGCGACGTGTTTGTATTACTCTCTAACGACACTTCTCCCTCATTCCGTTCTCTCTCTCCCTCTTTATCTCTCTCTCTCTCTCTCTCTCTCTCTCTCTCTCTCTCTCTCTCTCTCCCTGGTTCTCTCTCAGGCTCACTGCCACATGTAGCTGTTGGCGGAGAATAGAAGGAAGAAAGCGTTCTCAGTCTTTCAGTGGTGAAATATTTGTGATACGATCACAAGTGCATTATGCGGATCGTTTCATTTTTCCATACGGATGCGACTATAGAATCTATATTTGGGTTATTGCCGACAAGTATGTATTAATCACCACAAGTAAAATTCTGATAAATCTACTGTGTTAGTTAATTGAATGCATTACGTATATATTTCGATATGATAAACCATTTGTATGATACAAGTGAATATACTCTCAGTGTCAGTCTGAGACAGATCTGCGACCAAGCGTAGCTTCACAGCTTTGTGTGTAGCGGAGGCCTGGATCGTATCTACGGGTTGCAGATCCACTGTCACTACCCCTGTGTGTGTAGCGGAAGCCTGGACCGTCTCTACGGGTTACAGACCCACTGCCACCACTACCCCGGTGTGTGTAGCGGAGGCCTGGACCGTCTCTACGGGTTACAGACCCACTGCCACCACTACCCCACGTGTGTGTAGCGGAGGCCTGGACCGTCTCTACGGGTCTCTACGGGTCTCTTATCACTTAATGTAATTAAATTATAAAGTTATCACTGAAGAAGCCATAGCGCATGGATGTGTGATAAGGCAAGGTCAGGACTCTCTCTACGGGAATGCTGATGCCACTGCCGCTAGCCCGCGTGGGTTCGACCAACTTACTACTCGAGGCCACCCAGTTATGAAGTATACCAGAATATACTAAGTGCTTGCACGCGGGTTCATATCTGCCGTGGTTTACGGCTTGGGACTGCGCTGGAAGACCTCTGTAGTAACTAGTTTCATCGAAGAAATAACTATGTCGACTAAAGGCCAGGCATCGACGTCTATTGGCCATATACTCGGAGATAGCAATAGCAGACATCTTCCCGGGTACAGGTGCGTGCGCAGGTTATTGTATTGCTGGGCGTGTTGATGTGTGTGCGCGCTTGCGTGTTTGCGTGCGTGTGTGTGTTTGTGTGTGTGTATGTGTATGTGTGTGTGTGTGTGTGTGTGTGTGTGTGTGTGTGTGTGTGTGTGTGTGTGTGTGTGTGTGTGTGTGTGTGTGTGTGTGTGTGTGTGTGTGTGTGTGTGTGTGTGTGTGCGTGTGCCGCTGTGCGAATAG